AACGAACGTGTGCTCGGCCACGCTCGCGTTGCTCCGCGCGCGGACACGAGAGAACGGTGTCGATAGTGCAGTAAACCCGCGCCGGTGGATAAATATACGGTATTATGTAAGTTGTTTACTAGCAGCCCAGCCAATCAGAGGGAGGAAGGAAGAGAGAGAGAGAGAGAGAGAGAGAGAAAGAGAGAGTAGAACAGCGCGCGCGCGCCTGCGAATCTATAGACGGATTCGCGCGCAGCCAGAGCGTGTTGCGTAACAATCGCGAGCCAGAGACGCAACCCGATAACTCTTTCCTCTCGTGATTCCCTATCGCGCGAATTCTGTCCTCGCGTTGCATCGAGACGCAAGTTTCGAAAAGTCACATTGGAAGGTTTTTATTCTTTTTTTGTCTTTTTCTCTCTCTCTCTCTCTCTATTTTTTTTTCTTTTCTCTTCGTCGAACCTGCCGTACGCGCTCGCGGCTTATATATAGGGTTACGTAACTGAGAAGACGAACACACACATACACACACGCACATACACTCGCTCGTCGTGTGGTGAACGCGAGCCATGGCTGCAGTTCGAAACGGCGTAGAAACTTACGATTAGAACGTAGAACGTTTGTTGTTGTCGGGTAGATTCGAGTGGAATTCGCACGTGATGATCAGCAGACACACTTTAAGTCTGAAAGATTCTGTTCCGTTCTCTTAGACAGAAACTGTGCGTCGTGTTCGCTTCAGACGAGTGCTAAGAAATTTTTTTTTTTTTTAACGATCAGTAATATCGTGATTTGTAACGTCTTTTTTCCTGTTTTTTTTTTCGTTCTTTAGAATTTTAATATTTCCTGTTGAAGTCACGGGGCATTCCCGTCACGAGCGTACTCTGTCTTTCCTTTTTTTTTTTTTTAATTACAAGGAAAATTATGACTGATCTGTAAATCGAATTTTTAGTATTTTTATAAATCTGATTTTTTGACTCTTATAGTAACAAAAAGTTCGACTTGGTAGAGATTTATTTTATCATTTTTATTGTTACTTTGTAAGCTTCTGATTTCACGTTATTGTTATTTGTTTGTATAGTAGCTCTTATTGAATTATTATCATGTAGTAGAGAAATTCTTTCTTTTTCAGTCAAAATGTAATAATATTCCACAGAATTCATTATTCAGTCACAACAAACTTGAGTTTATATTTTTGCAAAGGGGATAGTTTTTTTTTAATTTTTTTTTTTGTACATTTTATCTGCATTTTGTCTGCAAGAAACAGAAAAATATTGTTACTGATTTCATGCCTATTAGTAGTACAGACAAGAAGTAAAAATTTTATTTTTATTCAAGTTTGATTTTTATAAATTTGTCTAATAGTTTTTGTTGATTTTTCTCTTTTATTATCGATAAGGAAAGACCAGATAGTATTTGTTATTTAATTTATTATTTCACAAGCGTCTGCAATCCTCCCCTACAGTAGTAGAATCGGAACGTAATGCTCAGACATCAACTACAGGTGGTATTTCGTATGCCTTAACAACTGCAAACAATCTCAAATCACAATAGAATTACAAGACACCTGATTATTATTTACGATGGAAGAAAAACAAAACAAATCCTCCGTTCCTATTTCTTACAGTGGAGTGCTTTGTTTCATCCTGAAAATTTCGTGAAAAAGTTCAAACCACCGTCGTAGACAAAAAACGTGTAAGGTAATGGAGAGTCCAGTAGAATCGGAGAACCAGTGGCCAGACACTGACTGAAAGATGCTATTTCGTATGTCCCTGACGAATCCAAGTAGTTCCAATCCCCGGCTGAATTTCCGCAGATGCGTCCGACAATCGGGGGAGATTGCAGCAGATTCAGAACACGATGACCAAGACCCAGACATCGGAGACGATCAAAGATATATTCCATACGTTCGATTTCATCCTCCGGCGTCTTTGTCACCGCCGTCTCACGGCAATTCGAAACGTTTCCAAAGCTGGCTGTTAGAATTTCCGCAGATCCCAGGCCGACAATAGAGGATTTGATTTTCAATCGATCCCTCAGCCATGCCCTTTTTTCTGCGAACAGGCAGCTTTGGGTGCTGTCCTCGTTAATCGTTATATTTCGTACGTATCTTTCCCATTGATCGACCTCCTCCTGCCATCGAAAAGAGGTAATACCAGGGCTTGCTCTATTTCCTCGTATTGTTGCCGGACAAAAGAAAAGGCGGGCGGACGATCGTTCGGGCTTGTCGTGTTTCGTCGCTGTTTCCGTGGCCAAATTTCTTTCTCGCTGCAACGATCGGCCTCGATAGTTGCCAACGTGGCGCGAACTATCAACACGAGTTTGGGAACGAGGATTCAGGGCGCGATTTTCTATGGATGTCGGACGTTGGTCATTTATTCTTCAAATTTACGAAGAATAACGAGACAAAAGGCAGGATAAACAAGACGAAAAGGAAGATTTATTGTACAATGTACAATAATGCCATGGGAAATGGTACAATTTTCTATGGACTTCTTTATTTATTTTTTACATGTGTTTACAAAGTGAGATAAAAAATAAGACGAAAAAGAAAAAAAAATGTATTACAATATGTTACAATGTCGTAAGAAATGTCACAAAGAGTTTCAAAGTGCAATTTTCTACGGACATCAGGCGTATTTATTTATTTTTTCCATGTGTGTATTTAGAAAAAGTAGCGAGACAAAAAACAGGATAAATAAAACGAGAAAGAAGATATATTATAATATATAATAATGTAGGAAATGTTATGAAGAGTATATCGATATTAAAGATATCGATACTCTCCATAATTAATCTATTCGATTTGTGTAACTATATACTAAATTTACAAATTTACTTTATTTTTAGTTTATCATCGTGGTTAGAACAATCATTTCTTTCCCCTTCAATGTACTATAAAAAAAGAGAAACATGCTTCAACCAAACATTAACAAAATCTCTGTCACGTTACGAGTTGTCCATCTGCAACGTTTTTAAAAAGTTAATAAAAAGAATTATTTGAATGAAAAAAAATTGTTTATTGAAAAAACGCACGATCGAGTGTTCCTAAGTGTTTCCCTGGTTACGTTAAATTGCAGTGCACGTCCGGTAAAATGTAAAGAAAAAAGCGCGAGAATCCGCAAAATTCCCCGTCGTAATCGGAGAAAAGTCGTGAGAAGAAAATTTTAATGAGTCTCTCGAAGGGTGTTGATTTCCTCAATCTGTAAAAGGGAGGAAGCGAAAGTGGTGAAAGGCGGGGACCAAGGCTCTCTCCTATTTTTCCCTTCGTTGAATTCACACGATTCAAAGGGGAGGAGAGGGGGGGGGGCTTTGGATTTTTCTCTCATTCGATGAGCGTGCGACGTGAGCTTTTCAGCCAATTTCCCACTCGTGCAAGTCACGAGTCTTGTTGCGCGAGCGAATACACGCCGAGGATTTTAGCGCGGACGTGTTTTTTTTTTTGGCCACGCTGATTTATTAACCCCGTGGTTCGAAGACGCTCGGTGTCGCAGCCAGTTGGCTGCTCCGAGGCAGTAGTATCTCATAAATATGATAGAAACGAGAGCTTTTCGAGGATACTCGACCGGACATGGTACTTTTTCGTGTACGTGTTTCTCCTTCACCACCGTGATCCTATTCGAAGAGGAGAGGGATTTTCCTTTCTCCCTCCGTGATTCACCCTATTCCCACTGACCCTTGAAATCTCTCTCTTTTCGCCGAACAAATTGTTTCTTTGATCGTACGCTGCGCCTTTGTTACCCCCTTTCTTTTCCGCGAGATTAAATTCTACAAACTCGTGCGTTTTTCTCGACACAGGAAATCTGTCCTCTGTGTGATTGTCAGGATATCCAAGTATCTCCGCTATTTTTTTGCTGCGCAGATGAATTCCCGAGGGCAAAGTTGCACCATTTTGAGAGAAACAAATCTAATTTAAAAAAAATATGAAATTTATTATTTGCTTGCAAGATCTCTTTTCGGTAATTAAGCTATGTTTGAATATTCTTTTGCCCTTCCACTTCATCGATCCTTTCACTTGCCTAGTAGAGAAATCAACAGATTGAGAGAGTGGAAGGGATATGCAGTGGAGGGGATAGTAAGGGCTCTCGCAGGCCGCCAGTTAGCCTCTATTTCAATCATTTATTTCTAAGATATTTCCGTTTAAATATTTTATATTTTATACTCACATTTTATTATTATTATAATTATAGTAATTTATTATATTCATTATTTATTATATAAATAATTTATATCATTACGTAATTTTATGTTTTATATTTATATTTTATTATTATATAATTTATTATATAATTATATTATTTTTGAATTTATATTATTTATTACGTAATTTTATATTTTATATTTATATTTTATTATTATATAATTTATTATATAATTATATTATTTTTGAATTTATATTTATTACATAATTTTATACTTAACATTTATATTTTATATTTCCGTTTAAATATTATTTGAATTACCTCACACAGAGCACATTCGTTTCTTGTCAAATCCCTCAACTCAGCCGCATATTGAACAAACCTTCAAATTCTCGCTTTATTAAAAACTGTGCGTCAAATTCTGCTTCGAGCTTCCAATTGATCTTTTTACATTGAGTCACTCCCTCGTCAATTTTCGCCTTGCATTCCTCAGGATATAATTTACGAAGTCGTTATGTTCTCGCCTGTGTGGATTTGCATGAAGTTACGCGGAGTTCTTTCGAGACTGGTTTCAGTCGATGTGCGTTGTACCTGTACACGTCACTTCACCGATATCGGCTTTTATGAACAAAGTCACGCGATTGGTCGCGAGAGTAAGAAAAAAACTGTTGCAAGGCGTCTGGAAACTGTTACGAAGCTCGCACGAAAGAGTTTACCGGTAGGATCCGCGGTTGATTCTGCGCGACATTCGACCGAACGTAGGCCCACGCAGGTTCCTCTTAATAAGCGTCACCTCATGTGTTGCTATTAATCAAGCGAATGTTGGAGCTAGATTGGTGGTCGGGCAATACGAGGAAAAATGATAGTTTACGTAAGCTAGGGAACGCCGGAGCGGAGTATTTAGTCGCGGTAACTCGCCTTGGAAACAGTCGAATCGAATCTGTGCTTGGCAGTTGAAGCGTTTCGGAAAGGACGAAACTTGTTTGAGTTGTTCGTCACGTATCCCATGATCGTCGATAAAAAGTTACGATTCGACGCGAGCGACTATTTTTTTGCGGTGAGTTTTTTTGTTTTCGTGTCATAGGTGAGTGACTGAGAATTTTGATTTTTCTATGAGTTTTTACTATTATTATTATTATTATTATTATTATTATCTTTTTTTTGAGAAATATTGATCCTCTAGTATTTTCGTTTTTCGCGTATGTGTTTGTGATGTGACACTGGCGATCAAAAAAATTTGAAATTTTTTTTCTCTTTGTCTGTTGGTAATTATATGACGAAGAAACTGAAATTATTTTTAACATTATGATGCATGATATGCATGATTTACGTTTGCAACGAATCAGACTTGAAGTCGTTCTTTTATTTGTAATTCAGTAATTGTGCCGTGTATAATATTGTTGCTTGGTTGAGATTAATATTATAAATTCTATCACACATTGAAAGTATTCTTTACTTTGATAAAATTGAAGACAGAGTTTTAAATTGGAAATATTTTTTTTTTTAAATTCAATATTAGTGTATAATTTATTGTCACGTAATTTATTTTTATGTGTAAACATTTTTACGGTAGAAAAATTTTGAATTTGATTGTATTTGTTTTTCGAATACAGTGGGATCGATGATATGTGTGTACGCACATACGTGCAACGTGTTAATGAAAGTTGATATGTTCTATCGATGGATTTTTCCGTTTTGACTTGTACGATATAATCGAGACTACGATATTTCTATAAGAAAACATTAAATACTGACTATTTGTTAAGTGATAACATATTAAATCGTGCAGGAATTAATCAATAATTATTAGAAAGAAATAATTAGTGATATAATAACAAAAATTCAATTAAACTGAAGATGATAAATAAAATAAATTCATGGATCAAATCTTTCAAATAAATTTATTAATATTAATTTCATTTTAATACAAATTTTTTATTTAAATTCTTAAATTCAAATTTATTTACATGTAATTTATAATTATATTAATAATAAAACATGAATTTAAAATTAATATAATGAAGACACAATTTTTGTGGAAATTGATGAAACGGTACGTGTGCTCTTTTATCCATATGTTCATTACTTAATTTTTATCCACTGATGTCATACTGACGTGAGTTTTCAGTTGAAGAAAAAAAGCAATGAATTATTGTGTACGGTTCGGGTCACTCGTTATGGTCCGCGCAAGTAGTTAGAAAGGGAGGGGACGCGTCTTCGACGTTTGAATCCAATAAGCACGGTATCGGATGCGCTTTGTCTATTCTCCGGAGAGATGAAATTCGTAACCAAGAAGGGCGCGCTCGTTTGAGAGAGAAAAGAAAGAGAGAGAGAGAGGGAGTGATGGAAGGAAAATAGGAGAGGATATACGCGGGGTGAAACAATCCCATTGAAGGCCAGTGTTCTTTGCGGGGGTTGAAGAAGAAAGTCCCAGTGGCAGGTGCGTCTGTTTCTAGGATGAAGCCTGTTATGTGAAGAGATGGGGGGCAACCCAGGATCCCTAATACGGTATTTCATCGGTCATAATGCGTCCCAGAGCCCATCTCTCGCTTTGTGTCCCCCTCGAACGAAACCGGGGCGAGCCTTCTGATATCGATGCTTTCATATCTCTCTCTCTCTTTCTCTCTCTCCTTTCTGGAAATCCTCATTTCGCCTTGTTTTCCCGCGTCATTGTCCTGGAAAAGCTTTTTACCACGTACAAACGTGTGCAAGGCGGAAGAGATTGAAGTCTGTTTTCTCTTTTCCTGCTTCTTCCTTCGCGAGTTTGGCGAGCGTTTGTTTAAATTCTAACGGAGCTTGTTTTGATTCGTGTCTCGCGAATGATCGATGTCGTAAAAACTTGCAACGTGCACGCGAGTACTTTCGACGGATGATATCGTTTTGCATTTGAAATGAAATTTGTGCTGATTTCAGTCGAGAAATGTATTTTCGCCGGATGGTATCGTTTAAAAACAATCTGTGGATCGACGACTCGCTAAAGTCCATAAAGTCTTTGTACTGTTACTACTAGCGAAGTTGTACGATGTATAATGAATAGTGTATTGCATAACTGGAGTACGTTTACACGTACAATTGGAAGAATAGACTGTTCTTTCAAAAAAAATAATATTTCGTACTTCTCCATCTTTGTACTGTTACTACTAGCTTTTTAGAAAGCACTTTTTGTTCTTTCAAGAAAAATAATATTTCGTACTCGTCCATCTTTGTACTGTTACTACTAGCGAAGTTGTACGATGTGTATGATGAATAGTATTGCATAACTGGAGTATGTTTACACGTACAATTGGAAGAATAAATAAAGACTGTTCTTTCAAAAAAAAAAATAATATTTCGTACTTCTCGAAATGATTTAGTTAAAAATAAAATAGTTTCGTTTCAATACGGATGTTTTTTTTTTTTTCTTTTCAAATTTAATGAACCCCTGAGGAATTCGTCTTTGAACCTTGAATTGAACAGTGATCTGCGAAGCGAAATGTCGCGTGAAGATCAGTCGATAATGTAGAATAGAATTTCCACCAAAAATATGTTATTACAGTCACGTGAAAAATAAATTTTGAAAATGAATGACATCGCTACACACAGAGAGACAGAGAGAGAGTGTGTATGTTGAGCAAGGTTCGTAGAACCGATTGAAATCACATCTCGGTTGACTAGATCGCAGCCCAAGGGGTAGACACGAAGGGGACTATTCGATTAATAAAAAAGTTTTCCCCTGGAATCCGAACTAGTCCAAGAAGGTCGCTGAAAGAAAAAGAAGAAGAAGAAGAAGAAGAAGAAGAAGGAAAAGAAAAATAAAACGAGCGGAATTGAAAGCGATCCGAGAGACAAGATTTTAGAAAAGGAACTTTCCTCCGACTGCGTTTAGTTCGGTGGGAAAACTAGCGAAAACTTCTCCGACGATCTTTTCTTCCCTCGTCGCTCGCCGCGGACACCGGCCTCTTTGTTCCACGACGTGTTCCGGGCGACGTTGTCTAGACCCCGCGGGACAATGCGCGTTGCTATTTCGGTTAAAACGCCACTGATTATTCCAGATACGCGCGTGCGACCGAATAATACTCGCGGGAACAAAGCGACGTGACACCGATGCCCGCTTGGAATGGCTGGCTCGTTATTAACACGCCCAGCCACAAGTATTGTCCCTGCTTTCTCCCTTTGACACCTCTCTCTTTCTCTCGTTTTGTCACGTTTCGGCCAAACAACCGCGGAGGAAATTGTTTCACCGCAACGATGCCCTGTAATTCTGTTGCACGTTAGCGGAAAGAGGGATTTTGTTTTTAACGTCATTGGCGATTATCTCCCTTCGTGATTATTGAAAATACGTAGGTTCTGGATATGTTCTGGCGCAGAACAGAACCCTCCGAGGCGGTCAGCCAAGTCAGTTCCTAAGAAGCCTCGATCCTGCCGAGAATTGTTCAGATGTTCTGCCATACTCTCATCTAAGGACACTTTTTCTGGCGTTGGAGGGAGAGACAGGTTGTAGAAAGGCTCGGTAGGGCAGATAGAAGAAGCCCAGTCTAGGAAAAGGTATAATGCTTGGCTGTGGCCATAAAATCGTAGACTATTCTAGAAAGTCGTAGAGTCACATTCAGTCAGTCAGAAACAGTCATTCCGCCTCAGTCACGAGGAGAGCTAGACGTGCCCTCTCCCGACTCGTAACACATCCACATTTACAATCAATATTTGTATAATAGTGAAATATAAGTATTTATTCTACATCTTGGCTTCATTCATAAAAAATAACTCTATAAAAGGCACGACGAGAGAACGATCATCAGCGAAACGGGTAAGCAACTATCGTTCACCTAACAGGTTATGTGGAGATTTTGTCGATTGCTCTGGGAATTAATTGTAAATAAATATCATTTTGGTAAGTTCACATAATCAGATATTTGTAGATACGTGTAGTTTTCTACTTGGGAATTTTTTGAAATTTCTCATTTTTGAGATTTCATAATGTGGTTTTTTTATGCTTCATAGTGATTAGAAATATCAAGAGTAATTAGAGTCATAGTAATTCAGGATAAAATTATATCGTTTCGATTCCTTATACAATTTCATGGTTTACATTTCTGGTATTTCTAACTCCCTTATGGTAATTTAATTTAAATTGAAAGTTCGAAGTTCAAATCGTTTCAAATTATTATTTCAGTCAAGTTCAGTTTCAATTAAATTATTTTCGAATTTAAACGGAATTCATTCGTTTCAGTTTCTATTAATCGTTAAATGCACATTTATCATTACACTTGTAAAAATCTTTCTAATGTTTAATGTTAGTTCCCCCTTTTTTTTGTCTAATTTCTCCGATATGAACAATTGTGTGGACCACTCCGTGTCCATGTGTGATGCAAATTGGGAATGTTATGTCACTGTGTATTCGTCTCGAAATAAGACTTTTGATAATTAACATTTTGCTGGAAATTTACAAATTTTCTAGATTTTTCTAAATTCTTCAACTTTTCTGAATTAACTTGTTAACTCTTCTAAATTTTCCCTCTTCTAAGTGTTCTCTCTTTCTGTCTGTATGATACTTGATGTTCAATAAATTAAAATAAATATTATTAATTAATTAAATGTAATTTAATAAATATTGTGTTAAAGTCACATTCAGTACAATTTTGCATCTTGTATATTGCACTCTTTTCCTAAAGAACCCTCCCTAAAAGAAAAGGAACAGGATTAATTTTTGTTACGAGAGAGTCCAGCTGCACCCGTAGGACCGTTACGGAATTCGAAGGAATTCCAGGGGCCAATTCTCGCGTTGCTTCTTTCGCTAGCTAGTCAGGGGTGAGAAGGTGCCATTCGTGGTTTGCGAAATTACGTAACCACGGTCGTGGTACGACGCCGTTTGGAGCAGATGCGTCGGTACGCGACGTTAGGCCATTAGACGTCGCAGAAAAGGGCCCTTACCCTCGTTTCGCAGGGTCATTTCCCAGCGCACGAAGGAAAAAGGTATGCAAATTGTGAGGAGGAAACGGCACGTTCGATTTCGAACGTCTCTGTTGTCCGAGAGACCCTCGAGCCTGCTGTTCGATTTCTTTTTTCTTTCTTTCTTTCTTC